GCCAGATGCCAGTCATCTCGAGCAACACAGAACACATCGTGGGGAAACCACAGAGAAGCCCCCAGATTCTACCCAAAACCCCAGCCAACTGTCACCACTACCAAATATTGGAATTTATCACTGGGGGCTAAACTGGCAGTTTGGAGTCTCCCATCCTCCTGATCCCTTTCCTGCCCCACCCCCAGCTGCAGAAGGGAGAAGGAGGCCTAGGGAATGCACTGGCTGGATAATGAGAACCCGCTTCCCCTCTTCAGCCCTCCTCGGTCCTCTCTCCAGAGGAGATGCAGGTCACCCCTCAGAGCCCCCGAACTCCCCTGGCATCCCCATCCTCTCCTGCCAAAGTCAAAGTGCCCCCCACTACCCCAAAGTACCCCCCATTACCCCAAAGTGCCCCCCACTACCCCAAAGCCTCTGGAGCCGGCAGGACCAGCCACTCAGCAAATCTCCTCCCAGAGTAATTGGATGTGATGGAACGAGGGCTTTTCAGGTCCTGAGTGGAAGTCTCTGGATGTCATTTAATGGCACAAAAAATAAAAGGCTCAGGCCTCCCGCCTACCACCGCCAGGACATCATTAATCTCGGCAGAAAGGTATCAGCGCTTCTATCAATGCGGCCAGTCCCGCGACGAGCCAGACAAATTACAGACCTGAGCTGGGCTCTCTGCGGGGCAGTTATTAGGCTGGAGTTGGGTTTTTACTTTTTTCTTCAGGGCCACCGTCCCCCGGCAAGAAGCAGTGGTGCCCTTGGGTAAGGGTAGAGGCAGGGAGGCTGGGGAGGAGGGTGCTTGCCTTGGGTAGATATGGGCCACCAGCTGAAGGGACAGGGCTGTTCCAAGCCGGATCCAGTGGCCCCTGTCCTTGCCGAGACTGCCTTGGGACAAGAGGCTGCTACAGCTCCAGCCTCAAGGACTCAGCAACCCACTCCCTGTTCTCCAGCTCACCAGAATAGGGGCCCATGGGATAATGGAGCTGGGGTGGGGGGACAGCTCCCTCTCTCAGCCTCCCTACCCCACTTCCCAGGCTAAGAGGGAAATACATTAGCACCCACTGCGGACCAAGTGACAGGTCAGTCCCTTGGCTACAGTACGGTCACCCAGGAAGTGTTATCCTCTACTGCTGGGAAGTCTTAAGAGTGGGCCTGGCCAGGTGCAGTGGCTCATACCTGTAATCCCAGCACTTTGGGAATCCCAGACAGGAGGATCACTTGGTCAGGAGTTCAAGACCAACCTGGGCAACACAGGGAGAACTTGTCTCTACAAATATATTTTTTTAATTAGCCAGGTGCAGTAGCACAAAACTGTGGTTCCAGCTACTCGGGAGGCTGAGGCGAGAGAATCAATCACCTGAGCCTGGGAGGTCAAGGCTGTAGTGAGCAGTGGTCATGCCACTGCACCCCAGCCTGGGCAAAATAACAAGACCCTGTTCCCAAATTAGAAAAGAAGGGGTCTGCTGAAGGGAAGCCAGGGGTGTCACTAGGGCTGGAGACCTTGTCTGCCAGGGACCCAGACTACAAAGTTCTGCTGCTGGCCAAAGCCCCCCTTCGAAGGACCAGATTGTGATTAGTTCAGTGTTACTTGTATTACATTAGACACTCACCGAGGGCAGGAAGTGAAATAAGGCAGCTCCACTGACCCCGTGCCTGGCAACAGACCAGGGGGATGGCTGCCAGTGCTAAAGGGGTCCTGAACCTGGGGTCTGACCTCACCTAAGAGCTTGCACTTCTAGCAAGGGAGCAGACCTCCCCATTCTACCAATTCCTGCAAGGGGGTTGGGGTTGGCTGGACTCGGCGGGGCACCTCTCAGTTCCTCAGATGCATGCTTAGCCCTAACAAGCCCAATGGAGCCATCCAGATACATGAGACAAACCGCTCCCAAACAGCAGAAAGCCAGCCCAGGGATGGGGGAAGCTAGGGGCAGAGAGAGTGACTGTGAAGACCTGTCCCAGGGCCGTTGCCAAACATTCCTGCCATCATCACAGTTCCTAGGACTAAAACTCTGAGGAGGAGCCCCTTCCCCAGCTGCTGAAGACAGGGGACATCATTCCCCGCTGGAGTCTAGTAGGAGGCCAGGCACACAGTTGTGGCCCAGACACCCCGGTGGCTTTAGATAAGGTTATCCGGCTCCCCGCTTGGCCCCGTCTGGAACATCACTGGTATCTGACATCTCTCGCTGCTAACATCTTTCCTATCAGGACCGACCAGCAAGTAGGAGAATGGGCTGTAGGCAGGGCCACTGGGTCTGGCTATGCAGGTTGAGGATGGCACCCCCTACGGCTGTGCAGGGATCAACCCGTACATCTCATGTGGCAGCCCTGTCCTGAGATGCCCAGGCCTCTGTGTCCCAGCCACAGGGCAGTTGGCTCGTGAGACAGGCATCAGACAGCTTCCTCTTCCCTCCTCCCTTCAGCCAAGGCCTGCCACCACAGAGGCCTCTGTAGTGCCCGCACTGCCCCTGCCCTCATCCCAGGAAAAGCCTGGCCTGGGTGCATCCAGACAGCTGCTGTCTGAAGAGACAACAGCACTGCCCTCTTCCTGCCTGGCCTCGGACGCTCTGCCTCTCAGGGACAGCGGTGCCGTTCAGGAAGGGGCTTTCCTCTGAGCCGTGACCACGGAAGCCGCAGCTTCCTAGCTCCCCAGCTCTCCCCACACACCCCAAAGGCCTGACTCACCCCCTCTGCCTTCTAGAACTTGCCCTCTGTGGCAGGAAACGGGGGGTGTAAGGAGTCGCAGCCGAGCCAGGATAGGAGGCAGCGGGAGGTTGGGTTTCAGGAGCTGCCCGGGGAGCCCGAGAATCACAGGGCTGTCGACTTGGGGCTGGAAAGAAGCCACGAGGCCCCCAGGGCACCGCAGGCTCAGAGGCTTCCAAACTAGCGAGAGGAGCCAGCCCTTGCTCTGGACTCAGGGGATTTCTTCCCCGAAGCTTGCCCTAGCCTCGTGAGGGTTTCAGTTTCCTTCCTGCCATGCAGGTTCCTTTCTGCATTATGGTGGGGAAGGCCCCTGGTCCCAGTTCCTGCCACACACCAGTTCACCCATAAGTTCTTATTACCCTGGCAAGCATGCACACACACACACCAGCATACGTACATATGCACACACATGTGTGTGCACACACTCTTTTCCAGGATCATAATACCAAAATCCCTTTCCTCCCCTGGGGTGCAGAGGCTCACACACAGACCATCTGAAAGGACACTCGTCACCTGACAACGAGCCTCCTAGGAGAACCCGGCTGCAGTCAATACACCTCCAGCGGGAGGGGCTTTCTCAGCATCTTGGCCACCCTTTCTCCAAAAGAATTCCTGGAGCCCCTTGTTTTCCAGCCCCTCTGAGCCCCATCTGAGCATGCAGCCACTGTGTCAGACAGGATTTGAGAGAGCCTGCAAAGGCCTTTCCTCCCTCCCTACCCCTATGAAGCTTCCTTGCCAGTACCCACCTGTACCTCAGTCATCCCATCTGTGATCTGGGGATGAGAACAGTCCTCCCTTTTTAGGATTGGTGTGAGGATTAAGTGATTTACGAGTCAAGCTCTTAGAGCAGTATCAGCACATAAGAAGCACGGAAATTGAGGTGTTATTGCTATTATTATTATTTGCATTATTGTTATTGTTATTTTGGGTTTTGGATTAAAAATTATCCTTTCCTTAAGAACATATTTGCAATGCCAGCAGCCTCTGGGAGAGAAGGATGCTTCAGTGGGCTTGATATCTTCATCGCTATGAAAAGGGTGGCAGGTGCTAGCCGATGAGACAGGTAGGTGGGAGAGTTGGTGGCCCGTGCGTCTCAGGTGAGGCTCTGAGAGGAAATCTAGGATGCCAGCCCCCTGCCCTATTCTGTTGCGGTATCGGAGATGACTGGTCTCCATTAATCCACTTAATATCCACACTGCCTCGCTCTGCTCTGGACAGGGTCTTCCCCAAGCACCCTCTCTGCCCAGGGAGGTTGCTGGATTCAGCAAAAAAACAAACAAAAAAAAAAAAAAACAAAACAACAAAAAAGTAGGATTTGAAATAAAATTCAGTAAAATTTGAATTCCAGATAAACAATGAAAAGAAAAAATCCGTACAAGTATGCTCCGTGCAGAATGTGGGACACGCTCACAGCAACAAACGATTTGCTGTTTATCTGAGATTCAAATTGAACTACATCCTGCCTTTTCCTGGCAAGCATCTGCCCAGGGTGCCTGACACCCAGGGTTTGGAAAACAGGAATGTGGGAATGTGCCTCTGACCACTTCCCTCAGCCTCACTCCACACCCCGGGCTGTGCCCTCCGCACCTTGCCACGAGGCCTGTTCACACTCGCTCCGGGGAGATGTACCTCGTGCCCCCCTGTACACACTTGTGCTTTCTCCCCCTGAAAAGGAGCCCCTCTGACCTGGGCACTGTCTGGGTTTCTGCAGGCCCAGCTCTGCCACCAGGGTCCAGGTTCTGCTCCTCTGCCTTTGCCACGGGGAAGGCACTCTGGTGCATGCCATGTCCTGGGACAGAGAGGAGGAGGTGGTTGGGGTTTGAGGGAGAAGATTGAAAGAACAGCACAGATACTTCCGCCAATCTCAGCCCCAGCAGCAGGGGTGAGCAGGTGTGAAGGAAGGCAGCAGTAAAGCCTCCGTCTTGGGGTCAGGAGAGCATGCAGGGAGAGGGTGTGAGTGGAGGAAGTGGGCAGCCCTCGTGATTGGGCTTCCTTTCTGCCCAGGAGTGAGAACGCAGAGTTTTGCTAAACAGAGGTGCTGGGGAAGGGAACTCAGGCATCCTTGACTCGGTCTGGGCTCAGTCCCCACCATTCTCTGGGGAGCAGGCAGCTTTGCTGCTGTTCAGAGGCTCTGCTGACATGCAGGGGCTGCCTCTGTGGCAGGAGCCAGAAGCTCCCCCAGCCACTATGCCACATGGCCATCATGTCACCTGCTGCCTCTCCTCCCCTAAACCGGTCTCCCTCTCAGGCCGCTGCCAGCTTTCAAGTCCGTGACTCCCTCTCCCTGCCTCCCTGTTGTCTGTTTGTCCTTCCAGGCTCTTGGAAAATGGACAGATTTCTGAACCGCTTCCGCCTGGGCGAACCTGAAGCAAGCAGCCAGTTCATGACCCAGAACTACCAGGACTCGTCAACCCTCCAGGCTCCCAGAGGAGGGGCCAGCGAGCCTAAGCACAAACGCAAGCGGGGATAGCTGCCTGCTAAACAGCACGCTTCGCTGTCCAGGTGTGTGTCACACTGCCCACCACCGACAGTGTGGGTACGGAACCCCTTCTCTTCCAAATTAAAAAAAAATCATCCAGGGCTTGGTGCTTTGCTTCCTAACTTGTGTTCCTTTGAAACCAACAAGAGGAAGAAACAGCCAATATCCAGCACTGGGGACTGAGGTTTTTCTGTAAATGCAAGTGGTTGGGTGGGAAGTGGGGGTAATAGACAGGCAGGACATAGTGATCCCAATGCCCAAACTGTCACTGAGTCACTGTGGGAACTCAGGGAAACCTCTTACCCTCTCCAAAGTTCTGCTCCCTTGGCTGTGACACGGAGGTAGGAAGAAGTGGGAGAGGGTGGTTGGTTAATCACCATGGCCTTTCCAGCTCTGACATTCGACAATATTCCTTTCTGCCCAGGAGTGAGAACGCAGAGTTTTGCTAAACAGAGGTGCTGGGGAAGGGAACTCAGGCATCCTTGACTCGGTCTGGGCTCAGTCCCCACCATTCTCTGGGGAGCAGGCAGCTTTGCTGCTGTTCCTTGGGCTGGCATTAAATGGGAAATCATTAAATGATTTCCCATTTAACGATTCCCATAGGTAGATTGGACCACACGTGGTGGCTCATGACTATAATCCTGGTGCTTATGGAGGCCAAGGCCAGAGGATCACTTGAAGCCAAGAGTTCAAGACCAGCCTGGGCAGCATAGGGAGATCCTGTTTCTACAAAAATAAGAATAAAAAATTGGCCAGATATGATGGTGATGCCTATAGCCCCAGCTACTCAGGAGGCTGGCACAGGAGAATCACCTGGGCCCAGGAGTTTCAGACTGCAGTGATCTCTGCACTCCAGCCTGGGCAACCATGCAAGACCTCATCTCTAAACAATTAATAAAAGAAAAATAGATTGGAGGGACAGATGGCATAATCAGATGTATGCTTTTTAAAAGCTGTGAATTAACTCCTTGGTATCTGCAAAGAACGAACTTTCGGCATCTAACTTGCCTGGACTTTCTCTGCAGGCCTCTTGACTTCCCCACCCAAGGACCCGTGGGAGACCCCTCTCTGCTACAGTCTCATTCCCAGCCTAAAGTTCGGGAGGCCTCTCGCCTCCCCACCACTCCAGTCCTCTCAGCACCCCCCAATACCCCCTTTAGTTTGGTTTCCCTCCAAGAGTTAATAACTGGGGGCACTCCTTGGCTAGCAAGTAGCGATGTTGGTAATTCATGTGTGCAGAGTGCTTGGAGGTCCCCAGATGAAAAGAGCAGGCTTCGTCTGGGAACAGGGTTATTACCATCTCAGAGTCCTGCCCCTCATTAGCTGGAAGGCAGAGGGCCCTAGATAACCCCTCCTCAGCCCAGCTGAGCACACTTTTGACTAGTGGAACAATTTTAGTGGTGGGGATCTGAAGAATACCATGGGGCTGGAGGTTGAGTTTGTAAATGAGAGAATTGAATCATGCCCCTTCATTAATAGATTCAGCTCTCTGCCCAGGAAATGGGCACCAAATTTTGGTGCTCCAGAGGGCATTTAATGCCAGCCCAAGGCAAAAGGAATCCTGGACAGTAGAAATTGTGGAGCCTCCCCACTTCCTTCTACCCCATTAGGCAAGCCTGCAAACAGACCTAAAATAAGAAGCAAAGGGAAGTATCCATCTGCAGTGCCATGGAAGGCAGCCCCACAAGGTACTTTCTGGGTCCCCTGCTCCCTGAGACCTTCCCCCCACAGCCCCCACCCTAACAGGCTCAGAATGTAATTGGCAGCTCCAGTTGGTGCCCAGGGCCAGGATAAATAGAAGGTCAGCTTCCTAGAGCAGCCCCAAATCGAGACACATCCTCCCCTCTTCTGCTTTTAATTCATTGTGGCTAGCCTGTTTATTTTGGGTGAGGAAAAAAAATCGGATGTTTATCCTTCGAGGAAATTATCGGCTTGCTTGCTTTCCTTCTCCCAACCCCCTCCTTCCTTTTGACTTGATGTTTTGGGCTTTGAATTCAGCTGCTGGAGAGACCCCCACCCTCCTAGCCCCAAAATGTGAAAAAAGAATAAAGCTGGCCCAGGCTCTAGGTTGAAGCCAGCCCTGATCAGGCGATCCCTGGAAACCACAGAGAAGGAGGTCCCAGTTGTGGAGAGAGGAAACCTGGAGGCCATGGGGACCTTGGGGAAAATCCAGGCTTTGACGGTGCTTTCTGCCTTCAGAACCCTTTGGGTCTCTCATTCCTTTTCTTTGCACCACCTTCTTCAGGAAGGAAAAGGATGGACATTTAAATTGCTTTGAGATTTCTAATGAAGCAGCTAAGAAAAATATAAGGGAGCATTCGCGACCCTTTACAAGGGTAAAGAGAATAGACATTATTATCATCATTGTAATCAGATGCATTTATTGAACACTTTTTGCATACCAGGTACTGCACAAAATGTCTAATGTGCGGTATCTCACTGAATGCATCCCCCTGCTACTTCAACGCCTTCTGGGGACCTTCATACATGTTCTCTCATTTGATTGTCACAACATCCTAATAAAGTGGGTGTTATTCTTATTTTAGAGATGAGGAAACTGACAGTCCCATCAGTTAAGTTATTATGGAGCAGGGGCCCCTGTTCCATAACTAGTCATGGTGGAATCTGGTGTTAACTAAAGCCTCCTCAGGTGTAGTATTTAGAGGTAAACTGTACTCTAATTTTACTCCCTGGGCTATATAAGATAAAAGCCAGATCAGGATCTGGAGTGGGCCAGAGAGAGAGGGCAAGAAATTCCAGAAGAAATTAAGGGGACTCTTCTCCAAGTGTCTTTCTTTACTCCAAGTTAAGCCAACCTGGACCATGTGTGATTTGTGGGGACGGCCAGGGTTCCTGGATACTCAAGGCAACAGCTGGCCCAGCCCAAGGCCATTACCATCCCTCCCCACCTGCCCAAGGTCACTACCCCAACAGTTTACCATCCTTAATGCATTTAATTTCCCCCTCCCTCCCCATCATTCCTGTGTGATAACTGCTCTTAGGTAAGGAAGAAAGGTAGAAAAGAAGGAAGAGCCACCTAGGAAGGCTCCAGGTTGATGATGATGGTGATGATGATGGTGATTGGTGATGATGCTGATGATGGTGATGGTGATGGTGATGATGGTAATGATGATGATCATGGTGATGGTCATGGTGATGATGGTCATGGTGATGGTCATGGTGATGATCATGGTGATGGTGATGGTGGTGACCATGGTGACGGTGATGATGATGATGATGATCATGGTGATGGTGATGATGATGATCATGGTAATGGTGATGATGATGATCATGGTGATGGTGATGGTGATGGTGATGATGGTGATGATAAGTGATAGTGATGGTGACCATGATGGTGATGGTGATGATGATCATGGTGATGGCAATGATAAGGTGATGGTGATGATGATGATGATGGTGGTAATGATCATGGTGATGGTGATGGTGATGGTGATGATAATGATGCTGATGATGGTGATGATGCTGAT